ATTACATTAATTGATTTACGTATGTTGAACTATGCTTGCATCCCTGGAATAAATCCGACTTGGTCGGGATGAATGATCTTCTTGATGATCCTCTGTATTCTGTTTGCTAGTATCTTATTGAGGATTTTTGCATCTATATTCATTAAGGAGATTGGCCTGTAGTTCTCTTTTTTTGTTATATCTTTCCCAGGTTTGGGAATCAAAGTGATATTTGCTTCCAGGAATGAATTTGGAAGTATTGCTTCTCTTTCAGTTTTGTTGAAAAGTCTGAAGAGTAATGGCAATAGATCTTCTCTAAATGTCTTGTAGAATTCAGCAGTGAATCCATCAGGACCTGGGCTTTTCTTTGTTGGTAAGTTTTTAATTACATTTTCAATTTCACTGATTGTGATTGGGGTGTTTAAAATGTTTTTATCTTCTTCGTTCAACTTTGGTAATTCATAGGTATCTAGAAATCTGTCCATTTCTTCTGTGTTTTCCATTTTATTAGAGTACAGGTTCTCATAGTATGTACTGATGATCCTCTGGATTTCTGTTGAATCTGTGTGACTTCACCTTTTTCATTCCTGATTGCATGGATCTGAGCCTTTTCTTTCCTTTTTTTGATAAGGTTTGTTAAGGGTTTATCAATTTTATTTAGTCTTTCAAAAAACCAACTCTTTGATTCATTTATTTTTTTGTGTTGTTTTCTTAGTTTCCACTGCATTGATTTCTGCTCTAATCTTTATAATTTCCTCTCTTGTTCGAGCTTTGGGTTTTTCTTGCTCTTGTTTTTCTAGGAGTCTAAGAGTCATCATTAGGTTATTTGAGCTGTTTTCCTAATGTGGGCATTCAGTGCTATGAATTTTCCACATAGAACTGCTTTCATTGTGTCCCATAGATTCCTGTATGTTGTATTGGCATTTTCCTTTATTTGTAAAAACTGTCTGATTTCTTCTTTGATTTCCTCTGTGATCCATTGATTGTTCAGGAGAGTGTTATTCAATTTGTGAATTTGTTATTCAGTTTGTGAAGTTCCTACGGTTTCTTAAGCTATTGATGTCCAGCTTTATTGCACTGTGATCTGATAATATACAGGGAATAACTTCAATTCTTTTGCGTTTATTCAAACCTATTTTGTGAGCTAGTATGTGATCTGTCTTGGAGAATGACCCATGTGCAGCTGAAAAGAATGTATATTCTGATTTTGTGGGGTGAAATACTCTATAGACGTCTATTAAGTCCATGCGTTCAAGAGCTTGGTTCAGTTCTAATATTTAATTGTTGATTTTTTGCCTAGATGATCTGTCTATTTTTGATAGTGGGGTATTCAGATACCCCACTACCATTGTATTAGTGGTTATTTGGTTTTTCATGTTACTTAATATTTGTTTTATATAGTTGGGGGCATTTATATTTGGTGCATATATGTTTATGATTGTCATTTCTTCCTCTTGAATTGTTCCCTTTACAAGGATGTAGTGGCCTTCTTTGTCTCTCTTAATAAGTTTTAGTTTGAAATTTGCTTTATCTGCGAATAAGATTGCTACCCCTGCTTTTTTCTGTGCTCCTGTGGCGTGGAGAATTATTTTCCATCCTTTCACTTTCAGTCTGTGGGCTTCTTTTTGCACTAGGTGTGTTTCTTGTATACAACATATTGTTGGATTTTGCTTCTTAATCCATTCTGCCAGTCTATTTCTCTTGATTGGTGAATTGAGGCCATTGACATTGATAGTTATAACTGATATGTACTGACTTATTATTGACATGTTATTGGCCTTTTGTTGACTCTTTTTATTTTTTGTCCTCTCCTTTTAGTTTCTAGCCTTGGCTATTTGATTTGCTCTGTTGGACCTCCTGGTGTTGTGATCTTCATTGTCTTTTTCTAGAATATTGTTTAAAATTCTTAGTATTGCTGGTTTAGTATTCATGAAGTTTCTCAAGTGTTCTTTGTCATGGAAGTATCTTATTTCTCCATCCATTTTGAAAGAGAGTTTTGCAGGATACATCAGTCTTGGTTGTAGTTCGTTCTCCTTTAGTACTTGAAATACCTCACTCCAGGATCTCCTTGACCTGAGGGTTTGTGTTGAAAAGTCTGCTGTGATTCTGGTGGGCTTTCCTTTGCATGTGATTTGTTTCTTTTCTCTTACTACTTGTAGTATTTTGTTCTTCTGTTGGGTTTCTGGGATCTTGATTATTATATGTCTAGGTGTAGATTTTTTTTTTATCGTGGCTAGTTGGTGTCCTATATGCCTCGCTTATCTGTATATCTAATTCTTCCCCTCTGGGAAGTTTTCAGTCATTAATTCTGTGAACAGCTTTTTTAAGTCATTTGCATTTCCTCCTGGTACTTCATGGATTCCTATCAGTTTTATGTGATTCTTTGCATCATCTAGGAGTCGTTGGATCGATTTCTCATGCTCCCTGACTGTTTTTAAGAGACCTCTCTTTTCATGGTCACTGTCTGCTATCCTATCTTCTATATCTGAGATTCTATCCTCGCAATCTTTTATTCCGTTACATATGCTTTCAGTAGAGTTTTTAATCTCCTGGATATCTGTTTGAATCTGTTTAATGGATTCCATTTCTTTCCTATGTTGGGTTTTCATTGTTTCCATTTCTTTCTTATTCTGGGCCTTCATGGTTTCTCTTATGTTCCTAAGCTCATCTATTTTTTTGTCAGTTTCTGTTCTGGAGTCTTGAATCATGTCTTTCATTTTGCTCACCATCTCTGTGGTTGACTGGGAAATAATTTCTGTTTTGAATTTTTCTAGAGCTTGATTGATCAGTTTTTTTACTTCATGTGCTGTGAGTTCTGAGTGTCCTGAAGGTTCACTGTCTGATTTTTCATCCTCCTTTGCCCTACTGTTTGCCATTGGTGGACTGGAAGTCTATCTTTGTGCCTTGCTTAAGTGTTTTCTCATCTTTATTTTTGCTGTTGGGTTGACCTTGATTCAATCTCTGGGTCATTAAATCTTCCTGATATCGTTGTGTCCCAGCCTTTGATTCTCTAATGACTTATAGACATTCTTATTTTCATAATTGAGCAAACAACTCATCAAATCAATCCCTATCCTTTATCCCTATTGATACAATCAAAAACATAATAGGATCAATCACCACCCTTTATAGCCCGCCACGCCTCTGCAGAGTGTGTCCTAGGATCTAATGGGGGTGCGGGTGTGTGTGTGTGTGTGTGTGTGTGTGTGCTGAGCGGCGCCTGCGCAGCTACCCTCCTACCACTGTGTCTGAGCCAATCAGTGGTGCCCGCTGGAATCCGCACGGCTCCAGAGCGGGTGGCGCAGGAGAGAGGGCTCTGAGTCCAAGCCGGGAGATGATGTTAAACTCACCTGCCTGGTGTGCGTTGTAGCCAATCACTCAGTGCCCTCTGGAAACGGTGCAGCTCCAGAGGAGGCCGCGTAGGAGAGAACTTCCTTACTGGATCTGTTGGTGCGCAGTTGGGGAGGTCACGCACCCGCCCATTAGGCTCGGGCAGGCAGCTGGAGAGACCTCCTGCAGGGTCCTTGGGTCCTTACTGGATCTAACCTGTTCCATTTGTTTCACCCTTTGTATGTCTCACTAATTTTGGATTAGTTGTGAACATTGAAGTTGTGAACATAGATTCTGTTGTTTTTCTCCAATGATATTGTCTCCTTTGTTTTCACAGATAATTTTTGTAGCTTGGGTTTATATTACAATATGTTTGTATTTTGTAGTGATTCTGTCCCTAGCAAGTATTTCTGACAAGACCTTTATTCTTGTGGGAACCATTGTTGAAATTTTGGGTGTATATGTACATGACTTATGTAACACTTTTAGCATTGTAAGTGATTAAAAAACGAGAGGGAGGGAAAGAAGGGCAGTAGTTCTTTGTGAGAAGTGGAATAAATTGCTTAGTTTGTTTAGTTAGAAGGTTATTTATTTGTTTATTGGTACTGAGGATGGAACTTGGGATCTTGTGCTTGTAAGGCAGGCAGCAGAACCACTGAGCTAAATCCCTGGCCCGAAGTTTTTTAATTTTTAAAGTAGGCAAAATAATTTTTAAGATCTTCAAAATATATAAGATTGTAGTCAAACTTTAAAATAAATCATGATGGGGCAGTTTTTTAACAACTATGATTGGTATTCTGCTATTATTTAATCTCTGAAAGAAATTTGTATTTTCTGTGGTTGTAAAATTCACAAATATATATTTTAAGTAGTAGTTTAGAATTGTAAAGCCAGAGTATAAAACTTAATTCTCCTAGTATAGAGGTTTAAATTTTTTTTTTTAATACTGGGTAAGCTCTTCCTTTAGACAAAATTCACTTAAAAGCCCATTAAATGCAACAGGGAGAGTAGAGCTACAGTAATGAATTAACAGCCAAGCTTGACTTTCTGGAGTTGGTGTTTCTTCCAACTGTAAGTAGTGGTCTATCACAGCATTATTTAAGAAGCAAGGATAGTGCCCACTGGTACTTATAACAAGGGGTGTTTTGATTAGTAAATTTAGATTGAGTGCAGTAAAAACACCCAGGTGCAATTTTTATTATCTTGCATGTTTTTTATGGAACTGTTAAGTAAGTTGCAGTTCTAAACTGGTGGCTAGTAGATATTAACTAGTGATGAATGTATTCTGTTGACTATGTGCCTTTTACTACTTGGTATTAGTGTGGCATTTTTCCTTCCTTTTTTTTTTTTTTTTTGGATTCTACCATGGCTCAGGAGTCTCCCAAAAATTCAGCAGCAGAAATCCCAGTGACAAGTAATGGAGAAGTTGATGATGCTCATGAACATGACTTTAGCAGAGTAAGAACATTTTTCTTTCTATTAATGTAAAGAATGACGAAAAACCTTTAAATGTTGAGAGGAAAGTAATAGACAAAATTTAATATAGAAATATTTTCATAAAGTGCTTCAGCTAGGAATCTAATGTTACTGTACAGGATGACAAAATGGGTTATGAGAATTATTTGTCAAGATTAAGTTACAGGGCCATATGATTGTGTGTGGTTTTTCCCTCCTTTTTTTTTTTTTTTTAGGATTCTACCATGGCTCAGGAGTCTCCCAAAAATTCAGCAGCAGAAATCCCAGTGACAAGTAATGGAGAAGTTGATGATGCTCATGAACATGACTTTAGCAGAGTAAGAACATTTTTCTTTCTATTAATGTAAAGAATGACGAAAAACCTTTAAATGTTGAGAGGAAAGTAATAGACAAAATTTAATATAGAAATATTTTCATAAAGTGCTTCAGCTAGGAATCTAATGTTACTGTACAGGATGACAAAATGGGTTATGAGAATTATTTGTCAAGATTAAGTTACAGGGCCATATGCTTTTTTTGTTTATTTCATTAATATACCAGAGTGAGAGTATGTCTGATGATTTGGGCATTTATCGTTATAAAACTACTTAATTTTAGTTGTAATAAGAACAAATATTAAAAATAGGTCATCCTTTTAAAAATTGGTGCTGTCTAATCTCTTTCCTACATGTCATTAGTACGTAATTCCAAAGTACCTGGTCCTGGTTTGCTGTTTACTTTTTAAATTGTCATGTGACTTAGAAAAGAAACGGGTATTGTTTTTTTTTAAGCCGAGGATTGAGGCTAGAGCTATCTACATGCTAAATGTGCAGACTCTACCACTAAGTCACACCTGTGTCCCTGGCTCAGTGCTTTTTTTTTATATCCCTTTGAGCTGAAACTTAAATGTAGTGCCTTTTAATGAGAACACCATGGGTGTAGAGATAGCTTGGGTTCAATTTTCCACTATGCCATTTCTAGCAGTATAAACTTTAGTTAGTATTTGTTTGATCTCATCTTTTTGTTTCAGTAATGAGAATCTTCTTTACTTTCATGAAGATACTAATATTAAATAAGTTAATGTGCCTAATAGAGTCTTACAAGTGATGTAATTGTTATTTCTGGAGATACTTATATTAAATGTCCTATTCCATGGCTTTTGGTATAACTTTATAACTGGAAAATGTAGTTTTCATATTATTGAAAGAGTAATGGCTGAAAGATTCTTTATTTTATCAGATAAGACTCCTTCTTTCATATATTTAAAAATAAAGTCCTTTAACAGAAGGTGAAGTGTTGGCACAGGATTTCTCTAAATCAACACTGTTGATGTTTGAGCTGGATGATTCTTTGTTGCGGGGGTGGTTTGAGTTGTGCGTTGTAGGGTGGTTAGCACCTCTCGGTCCCTTTTAGTTGATGCAGAAGCACCCTCGAGGTGTGGAAAGCAAAAATGTCTTCATATGTTGCTAAATGTACCCCAGGGTAGGGAGAAACTCACCTGTGGTTGGAAACCACTGTTTTAGAATAGATAGCTTAATTAATATTAGAAAATTCAATTGAATTTAATTTCTTTTTTGTCTCAACAGTCTCTTGAAAAGAACTAATGTGTCTTCAGGCTTGAAGTACATGTCTTAATCTGTTTTCTGTTGCTGTAACAGAATACCTGAGCCTTGGATAATTTATAAAGAAAGAGGTTTATTTAACTTACAGTTCTGGAGGCAGGAATTTCAAGGTCAGGCAGCTACATCTGTCAAGGGCCTCGTGGTGCTCAGTGCACCGTAATGGATGGTATCACATGGTGGGAATGCTTGCATGAGTGACACATGCATGTGGAAGCGAGGTGGGGACAGAAGGAGTAGGGTGTTTTAATAACCACTTGAGAGACCTAATTCAGTCACAGAGAAAGACATTTATCCCTCTTAAAGGCCTCATTTCCTAACACCTGCTACTTTAACAACCAGGTTTTCATGAGTTTTGCCAGGTTCAGACCACATCCATCTAAGCCATAATGGTCTTTTTTTACTTACAAGTGCCTTAATGTGGATTCTGAGTACCTGTGGCTAAAAATAGAGTGATTCTAGGAGATTCTTGATTCTGAGCACACAAAGGAAATTTTTACTTCAAGTTTTAGTTGAAGATACACTTGTGAAATAAGGAAATTCAATACCATCCTTATTAGCCTTTACCAATTACTTTATAAATTTCTGTTTTTATATTCATTACACCAAGCTTGTAGCTCCTTTTACAATTTTATTCTGTATTGAGTATATGTTATATATCAGGCAAGGCACCGGGTATATAGCAGTGGACAAAAATACCTGCCATCAAGGAGCCAGCATACTAAAAGACAAATCTGGTCAAAGCCAAAGACCTCTGTCAAGAGAGACGCAATGAGTATAAAGTGTAGGGGCTGAGGGTGTGCTTAGTGATAGCACAAATTCTGTTTTGAGCACACATGAAAAGTCGCATTTAGTGTTGAAAAAGTCACCTGCCAACTTGAGCCTCTTCTTTTCCTTGCCGTTCTTTGTTATTGGCAAATAGCTTTACAGATGTGAAGTGTACAGCTCAGGGGAACCTTCACCCACATGAAGTTGTAGAACATTACAGGACCTCAGGAGGCTCCCTCATTCCCAGTCCTAGGCAGTGTACCCCTCCTTCCCACCACTAATCTAAACCCATCCGAGACTGCTTTTCACAGTTCCTGCAGTATGTGTCATCGGAATCCTCACTCTGCAGTGCATCTGTGAGATTTATTCACCTTGCTGTTTATGGCAGTATTTCATTCTTTTTATTGTGCTACTTCTGTTGAGTGTTTTACCCAAAAGTGCCAGTCATGAGCGCTTGACTGTTTGGCAAGTGGTTGAACTAGCTGACGATTTTATCAGCAATAAACAAGAGTTCTAGGATTTTACGCCTTAATTTTAGCCCTTCTGATGAAGACATAATGGTATCCTATTGTGGGATTTTTGGTCTGTTTTGTGTTTTGAGACAGGCTGTCCTATGTAGCTTTCTGCCTCGGCCTCCTGAGTGCCGGAATCACACATGTGCACTGCCACACCTGTTTCCATTATGGTTTCCCCTGTGACTAAAGATGTTGAGCACATTTCATATTTTTCTGCACCATTTGGATATTATCTTTTATGAATTAGCTTTTCAAGTCATTTATCCATTTTCTACTGGGTATGTGCCTTTTTCTAACTTATTTGTGGGCTTTGTGTATTTTGAGTATGAGTCATTTGGACATAGCACAGATATCTTCTAGTCTGTATTTTGTACTATTAATAATACTTCTAGTGAATGATAATTGTTTATTTTAATGAAGTCCAGTATATTGCTGTTTCCTTATGAAGTGATTTTTGTGTCTCATTTAAGAAATCTTTGCCTACCCAATAGTAAATAGACACTGTTCTAAAGTTTTGTTTTGCTTCTCATTTTTAGTTTTATGAATTAAATAAATTAATACTCGTACAATGTGAAGAAGGGGTCGTGGTTAGTTTCCCCCACATGAATGACCATCCACTTGACCACCAGTGTTTATTGAAAAGCTACCCTTTTTTTGTCTTTTAAGAAAATGAAATTGAGCATGGCATGGTATATGCCTGTAATCCCAGAACCCTGGGAGGTTGAGGCAGGATAATCACAAGTTTGAGCCCAGCATAGGCAATTTGTCAACTTACTGAACTAAATCCCCATCTCTAAAAAAGTAATAATAATAACAACAATGTATTATATAATTGAAATTTATGAGAGTAAATCTAGGTGTTCTCACCACACACAGACACAAATGGTTACCATGTGAGGTGATATGTTACTTAGCTTGATTGTAGTAATTACTTCACAGTATATTAAATATAAAAGAAAATCACAGGTGGGCATGGTGGTGCACACCTGTAATCCCAGTACGCAGGAGGCTGAGGCAGGAGGATCACTGTGAGAGGCCAGCCTAGGCTACATAATAAGTTCAGGGTGAGACCAGCCTGAGCTACCTAGCAAGACTCTGTCTCAAAAAAAATTACATTGTACACCATGCACTTATTTACAGTTTTGTCTGTCATACCTCAAAGCTTGGAGGGAAGAGGAAAAAGATTGTCACTTTTTCGCGAGGTGCTTCTGCTGTTAATCAGATGACCAGTTGTGTGTGTGAGGATGTTTATGGACTCTGCTTATTTCTGGTCTTTTTGCCAATTGTTGAAACAGTATCATGCATATATTACTACAGTAATTAAGACTGGTGCAAATGTCCTCGCCACCCTGATACTTGGTAACTAATTTCTGTATCTTTGTTCTTTTTTGGGGTGACTTTGTAGCCTAGGCTCAAGTGTGAGTCTTTAGTTAACCATCTTTGCCTTTAACTAGCATTGAAAAAATTCTTTAAAATAATATGAGAAAAGAAAGAAAAAACAAAAACAAAGTTTTTATAAATAGGGAGGGGTGGAGGGGTGGAAGGGAAGGAAGGAGAATGGGATAAAACAAGAACCAAAATATATGTCTTGTACAGGAACAAATTCCCAGTGATAAATGTGATCATACTGTGTACCTAAAATATACCAATAAACTTAATGGAATAAAAAAGTTTACTGCTTATGTCCTCAAAGCTAATATCTTGCTGCTTTGAAGATTTACTCATTATTTAATACCAGCTTCTCTTTGTGGAAATTCCCCTGCCGTGTTATTTTATTTGTATGGGGAAGTAGAGAAGGGAAAAAGGAGTTGTCTTGAAGGCTGTCTTTGCTGGCTGGGAACTTAGAGGAGGCCGGAAGCAGCCCTAGCCCACTTCCGCTAGTGCATTATGCCGCATACCTGTAGAGAAAGAAATGGACTATTGTTAAACTTGTTTGTACCTGCTCTTATTAAAAGTATGCGTATCACGAGAGTCTCTTATGTACATATTTAAAATTAAGCTACATACTTCCTTTCTGCCCAAAGGAAAACAATATTTTTAAACTATCACTTAACTCTTTTGCATATATTGCACTCAAGATCCATTAGGCATATGTTTATCTAAATGTTGCCTCATTTTCTCCCTTATTTTCTTGAGCAGTAAATAATAAGTTGTGCTTAATCTCAAGTCCATTTTTTTGTTTTAATAGAAAATTTCAGGGCCGGGGATTTAGCTCAGTGGTCCCCCCGCCTGCCTCACAAGCGCAAAGTCCTGAATTCGATCTCTGGTACCGGGAAAAAAAAAGGAAAGAAAATTTCAGAGAAAATAAATGTTAAATGTTTCACTTAGTATTAGACTAGTGCAGTGATCTTACATGTAAAACTGAATGATGATTTGTATATCTTCCTTGTATATCTATTTGAAGTTTTAAATCTTATATTTTTTTAATTTAATACA